GGTGGTGGGTGTGGTTGAAAGTAACAGATTACATCAATCTAATAATTAGATTATTAAACTATAATAATAAAAATCCAATGAACTCACTGAATGAGCATATTAAAAATCTTGTTGGTTTTGAAAAAGATTAAAAACCACATTATCTACACATTTTATCCATAACTTAATATATACTATCTTTAGGGATTAGCAGTCACTTCATATTTGACTGGTGAACAAACATGGTCTCCTACAAAGTTAACGCAATTCACTCAGAAGTGAGGATTGTTGAGTCATCTGAACTTAATAATACATGGAGAATTAGATCATGACACTAAAAATAGTGAAAACCTAGTTATACTTGGTGGAACTAATGTAACTAGCTGACAATAGAAAAAAACACTAGTAAAAATTTCTAAAAATAAATTTCTTTTAACTTCAGTTAGTTTTTTTCAGACTTTGGAAGGCTACCTTCTTTCTCAACAATTGCTAACAAATGAGCTTGAGTTCAGCATTTATTTTCCACATACAGGAAAAATAATCAAAAAGCATGAGCAGAAATAATAAGCAACAGTACATGTTCAGTTTTCTTTTTGCATTCACAGAACCAAGAAAAAAGATTAAATCACCACATGACAGTGATGTGGCCTTCCTAAACCCAAATAAAGTGCTATGTTCTGTGGTTTAGCTTTCAGAGCTTCAAACTCATGTGTACCGGTATATGCAAAGGCACGTTACAATTTTATTCCCTTAAAAATCAAGCCTTTGTAAAATCTCTGTAGGCCCAGTGGCTTTTTCCTTTACGAGTTAAAAATGAGGCAGGGGGTGGGGGGGAGGTCCGGGGAAGGAAACCAACCCCAACCAAAATCCATAAAGTTTAGGCAGTTCCTCCATTCCATTCCTTTCCATTTCCGAAATTCAGTGCCCTTTTTCAGCATCTCTGGTAATTCTGATATAATTATTACCATAAAATATTAAAATATATTCATGCAACTTAGAAGTAAAACTTTAGGAAATAGCTTTGGGTATTTATCACTATTAAATGAGTTAAGTGAAAACTGAAATTAACCGGTTGATGGAAATTCAGACTAAAAAATCAATTTCTCAGCAAATGCACTACTATTATTTTGTTTGAGTTAGTATGATACTTATCTTTTTCATTGCACAAACTATCATTTTTAAACAATGGAAAATGGAAGGCCAAATTACTTCCTTGCATATTTTAATTTAGAGGTTATCTTTGTGTAAGCCATAGAAGATGTGATATACTTCAGTTGCCTCTTCTCCCTCATCCACCTCCTAGCAGTTGTCACATTCAGAGAAAAAAAACTTATCTTCAGTAAAGAGTACAGAGAGGGGGATTTTCAGAGCAAAGGTTCTCCATCTTACAGAAGAAAGCATTAGGCATGAAAAATGCTTTGGCTGCCTACAGCTATTTCTCATGTTACACAAAACTACCTCTACCTTGTACCTGGATTTGAAGTTATTCTGTATTATGAATACACTAAACATACCTCTAGACATATTTAAAAGAAAGTCCTGATTTTGCTCCTGGTGGTATTTTAAATAGGCTTTTACCATTTATCACACGAGCCACCTAATGAGCTAGGATTACTATGACAACACATCAGCAAACATCTCAAAACTACTACGATGCAGGTACCATCTTTTCTGACATGCTATATTGGGAGCCTTGACAAAGATAACATGTTGGACAAGTTAGTGATCTTGGGCAAACCATGTCTGCTCTATAAGGCCCTGCACTTCAGGCTTAAGAAGTCCATATTATCATGGGCTTCTCAGGGTTCCAGCAAGGGAGCATGCCAAAACCCCTGTGATGGCCTGTCTTGTGTGCTGGGAGGGTGTTATGACACAGGTAATTCTGACAGAGCAGAAGCAGACACATGGGTTCGTTTTGGTTTGGTTTGGTTGGTTGGGTTGGTTGGTGTTTTTGGGTTGTTTTTTTTGTTGTTTTGTTTTTTGGGTTTTTTTTACACAAAATATAAGGCACCACAGTATGGGAGGGAGGCAGAACCTCTCCACAAATGGGACCTGTGTGCCACAGTTTGCCAGAGAAGATTCATCTGGGGTTTTTCTGATGTTGCATGAAAGTACAGCTACCAACACCTGAAGACATTACTACCTATATTTCTCTTTTTACACTATCTTATAAACCAGCTAGTTTGTTACACGTTTATTGTTGGTGCTTTCTTACCAGTATCTGGAAAGTGCCCTGCATTTGCTAACCCGACGAGCTTACACTGAGGATATGAGGGTATAAAGCTTTGAAACATGACAGAAATTTTTAGACCAGTCTATAACCAGATATATATAAAGATCTAGCATAATTTAAGCAAATCACCATGTTCACTATTTATTTACAGTGATATAACACAAAAAGCCAGTATCTATCTTGTTATAATTGCAATCAATACGCCGATTATAGAATGAACAGGTTCACAGTAAATTCACTGCCTTTAGAATGTAAGTACTCCACTTATTTCTCTAACGGCATTTTATTTGTGGCTCAATTGCTGTATTTAATGTTCAGTCCCACACTGCAGTATTTTGCTTCTCATTGCAAGGACAGTCTTCTTCTCCAGGGATTGTATTCAAACACAAAGCAAAACTAGAGGTCAGAAATAAGGCATTTTCAAATACAGAGCCATATCCTGCAGACTGTGTAAAGATAAACCTTACTTTCACATCCAGCAGAACTAGCATACAATAGCTTAATAGCTTAATGCTAGTATGCAACTAGAATTATCTTCAAAATTTGGAAAGATGGAATGTGTGTAAATATATCTAGGTATACATACATACACACATGTATTTGTTACAAAACGTGCCTTGCTAGCAAATCTGATCTTTTATATGTCCTAAGATCCTCTCCTGTAGGAAAGAATTTTTCCATCTCTGCATATCACATCTTATGAATCTCTGGCTCCTGATCAAAAAGCACCAACAGAAACCACTTGTATCCATATCAAATTCAAAATAAGCGTGAGAGAAAGATCATTAAATCCAGAAAATAATTGTTTTACTACTTCTCTTCCATGATCCCTTCCTCCTCATCGAATGACCTAACTGATTCTGGAAGTTTTCTACAGCTCTCTGGCATTTACAAAAGCTTGAGGCTGCAGAGCTAGGTACCATCCAACAGTGAAAAGCATCATAATAAAAGCAGTATTTCAGAAATACCTGCTGGTGAAAGAGCTAAAGCTTCCTTACAGTTATAGACTAGTTCTATAGGACACTTAACATCCACATAAAAATCCTTAGAATGCATTGTAAAGCACAGCCTAGACCTCAAGAGGGATTTGGTTACATCTTGAAAGGCCATATGGTACAGAACACTTCCCAGCAACAGAAAGATACAGAAAAGTAACTCTCCCAATTACTGCCTAAGCATTTTTCAAAACTAAGAAGTAGCTAAATAAGCTTGGCATGTGCTCTGCTAAATGTGGCAAGTCCAACTAAAACAAGAGGAGACAGTGCATTTGGAGTTTCTTTGCAGCAAAAATACAGGGTATGAATAGTTGGTTTTCCTCATATTAATTCTTATCTGACTAGCTTCTAATCTGTCACAGTCGAAAGATATATTATGGAGCTCAAAATTATGCACACACTACGAAAACTGAGTGCTGGCCACCTACAAAATAGAGTTTTATTCATAAGAATGTGATTTTAGCCTAGACATAACGTCCCCTCCCACTTCATCTCTCGATATCCAAAGCGTTAACACCTCTCTAGAAATAGAGTTACATATCTGTTGATTAACTTACTTTGAAATATCTTTGCTGCCATGTTGCCATGGAAATATGACATTTCCAATAGCTGCCCGGTAACTGTAGACTCCCAGGAGCCCAAGTGCCATAGCAATTTTTGAAACCAGGGAGCATCTTCTTTGAACCAGAAAGAAGAGCATAAGTAGGGATACTGCAGCCAAGAAGGACAATTCAGATTTATGTTCAGAGCTGTAAAACAAATAAAACAATAAACAAACCCCATAAAACCACTGTAATTGCTGTTTAAAACATTTGACAGAGCTACATCACTGTATCTCCAAATTAATCACTGCACTGACATCTGTTACGAACTTTCCAAAAGGTATGGTAAAATATTTTAGTATTTTTAGAAAAGCAGTTTTATTAATGAGGTTTTCTATTCAAGCATGCATGTTAAAAGTGTAATTATTGTGTTCCACCATATGCTACTTACTCTGTTAATTATATAAAAACTGAGCTGCATATTGCATAATGGAAAAGGGACTAATGCATTTAAACTGGCATTTTGTTATTTATACATTTTGAAACACTGCATTTTGCTTATATTACAGCATTTCAATTTCTAGCATAAGGCAGAAAAGAATTTTGCACTATAGAATTAGACCTATTCTCTCTTTTTAAATAACTGCTCATTTAATTTTACACACATGAAACATTACCTAGCCAAAACTACCAGAAGTATATACTTACACAGATTAAAACATACAAACCCAAATGTATTATCACGGTAAGATACCTTTACGCAACTACAGCACTTGTACTGGATCAATACATACAAGGAATAAAGACACTAAATTTGCATCATGGCCAAGAAGATTACACACACAGTTTCTTTGCTCCCCCGCATCCTAAATAGCTAACACTTGTTACAGAATCAAGGACATTCCATTGAGCATGCTGCCAGCATTATGTATTTAAATCTACAGTGATTATCAATTATCACTGCAAAATGTTATGGGGTAAGGTAAAGATCTGAACTCAACCCCTACCATAGCTAGCAATGCAATTCCAGAAAGCCTGCTGTAGTCCAAGAATTTCTGACTCTTGCTTACTGCAAATATCCCCAGTATCCCAAATGACCTAGAACCACTCATTTTGTTAGATATACTTACTGTAAAGAACATCGCGTATAGTGTGAGAGCCAAGGGCTCCACCTTCTGTCTTCCAGACTTCAAAATGCCATGATAAAAGATCACTAACTTCAGCAAACTGACAGTAAACCCTGGCTGTTACCTGCATTAACAGTTACGAAACTCCAGTTTTACCTCTGATTTAATCAAAATCACAGTACTTCAAACAGGTTTACTTTCCTATTCTCCAGTATATACTTTATCAGGACATTCACCAATAGCTGTCTGAGCTTTTGCACTAGGAAGTTACATAGGAGAGGACATGAGGCAGAAAAATTGTCCTGTTAGTCCTCCCTGCAGGACCCTTCATACAACTTTATAGGATTCCCAAGAGATGCACTGCTCTCTGCAGGCCAGTAGGGGAAAGTGAGGGGAATAAACAGAACACTATAGGAGAGAAAATACAGTCTTGATGTTTCTCCTGTCTCCAGGAAGAGACAGTAGAAGCAGTGAATACATTGCTGCAGCAAGATAGCGCACCTACCATCTCTTATGATCATAAAATCGTAGAATGGTTAGGGTTGGAAAGGACCTTAAGATCATCTAATTCCAACCTCCATGCCAACACATAAAGAACTGATTTAGCAACTACTGCATTTTTCAAATGAACCTTTGTGGAAAATTTTAAAAGCTTTCAGGCCATATTCTCCTTGGGTGCTCATTGTGTGAGAGCAAGATACATCAGGGATAAATAACGGCACATCATCATCGTCATCTTTGTCTCTTTATCTAAAACAGTCAATCTACTTCAGTTAAGAGACTCTTGCAGGCAAACTCAACATAGCAACACATAAAAATTAAAATAAGCATTCCTAACTGCAAGAAGTAACTGCTACATCAAGCAAGACACTCACTAACAGCTTCAATTGTCTAAACTGAACACTTGAAATCATACTCTCACCCCCTCAGAAAGAAAGAACATTCTCAGAGAAAGCCCAGTGGACAGCAAGGTTCAAAGTCCTCTTGCGCATCAGTCAGCAATGGTGAATTCTTAACTCCTAGCACAGAGGTCTATAACCAGCTCATGTCCAGGTCTTCTGGGAACAGTCCTCTGTGTTTTCTGATTTGAATTTTTTAGAGCCATGTAAATTTTTTGGGGAGGGGGGGAGAGAAAAAACAAAACACCAAACCAGTGCTTCACAGAGTTTGAGGCGGGGGGGGGAGGGGGACGACCAACCCAAAAAACAACACAAAACCAAAAACCCAATAAAAGGTTTTATAGCAAATTAAGTCAGTTCAGTATAAATCACCTACATTTTCAAGGCTTTCCAGCCAACATTCTTACAGTTAGGCAGCTAAGTGCATATCAAATTAACATGTATTTTGAAAGGGTATTGTAGTTGCTCAATAGAGTGCAGGCATTTAGCAAAGTTCTGAATGATTTTGATATTCTACTCAGAAATACAAGCATTAACATGGTACACTGATCTCAGCTGAAATGTAGTGGGTTTTGCCTAAATCACAAAACTGAAAGTGAAGAACCAATGATTTTCTGAGACACAACCTGGGGAGGGAGAAAGGAAAAAAGAGTGCTTCAGCTATGTGTTTTTACTGTAACAGCTTGTGGTCTACACTGTCATACTTCTGGTATCAGAATGAAGGTTGAAGACATTTCCTTCCACTGCTTTGCCCTCACCTCACTACTGCAAATACAAGCAGAGTGAAAGGAATTATGTATGCGCAAAATTCATATTTTATGTGGATAGAGCCTTTTTTAATTGCTTACTTCCATTCTACTATGTAGAATAGTAGGAGTCAATAGAATACACAGGAGTCACATGGTATGCTAGCTTTGGGGGGAAGGGCATTTGGGGATGGTTAAGTACATTATTAAAAAAAAGTAATACCATCTTCCGATGGCGCTGCTTGTCATCACTTCTATTCAAGCTGATGTTGTCATTGCCACCTCTCCCCTTCCACACTGAGCTATGTAGCAGCTCTGACTCCTCCTGAGGATCAGTTCTGACCAAGATTAACAGCCAAATGAAGCTAACTGCATACCAACTGATGAAAAAAAGAAAAGCCGACTTCCAAACAAATTTAGGAATTGCATGGTCTTTTCCACTTCATCTACTGTCTGATTTTCTTAGGCTCTTTTTCCCCGAAGTATTTCCCCCCTGCCCCTTTGTAGCAGGTTTCGCAGAGGTCTCTGCAAATAACAAAGAACATTTTCCTTATTTCAGCACTGTTGAATGCATCTCTAGTAGCCAAATTCAACACACTACAGCTAGATTGATTTTCTGGGTTTTGCTGCTTACATTTTTCCATGCACAAATCGGCACAATAGCCTCTGTCTCAAATGCTGAGCCCCTTGAGCACTGTCCAGATAAGCAAAATATTAGTCTGAGTGTGATGTCTAAAAGGCATCACTAAAAAAGTGTTATTAAGACATAACTATGCAAATTAAACACATACTTAAAATAGAATAACAATCAACCTTACAGACTAGCAATGTATTTTGGGAAGAGGAATAAGTGCTTTATGCAACTCAGCTTATCATCAACTTTTAATTTATGCTATAAGGAAAACACATCCTCTCAATCCTGATCAATACACTAGGGAAACAGACATCTCTACCACCCTGTTCTCCTGTGAAGGAGAAGCAACAAAGACGTTAAAACCTCCAACCGAAGAAAATGCAGGCATGCTTGCTGAATAGGAATTCACTCTACTCTACAAACCACAGGATGTGCAAAGATTTAGTTGCATCATTGACTGATATTTTCAAAGCTTTCCAGTGAACCATTTCATACTAAAACACTCACCTACATCACATCACTCAAGTCCAAAAACTGTGCACTTCAAATGCTGCTATTCTGGGCAATCTTTCACCGCTATACAGCAACTGAAGTATATGTCAGAATGGTGACATGTATTACATTTTCCTCATAGTCTAAAAACTGCTCCGTTGATTTAAGTCAGGATGTAGCTCCACAGCAGCCCAAGCCAACCTGTGCCAGGGCTGCCAGGGTTCTGCTCTTTCACCTGCTCCCTAAACATGGCAGAAGTAGTTACGTCAATGAAAGAAAGAAGGCAGAACTGTGGCAGCCCTAATGGCACATCTTTTAGCCTGCACTAAACTCGGCACTGTTCCATAATCTTCTTAAAGCCCTCAAAAGTAAAAGTTTGTGAATCATTGCTTCTTTCTCAACCAGATTTGAAAGGCTATTGTGTTTCAGTAAGGAATGCTTGACAATGGCAGAAAGAAAAAACTGTTCATGTCTGCAGCTCTTCAAAGGATGTAGATACATC